ACGCTCTTCTGTGGCACCTACAGTGCCTGGGTCCGTGCAGGTGGGGGTGGGCGGGGAGAGGGGCGGAGTCCCTGCCCTCAGTGGTCCTCTGGGTGGAGACACGGGACCATCAGGCAGGGAGAGCAGAGACAGCCCTCATTCTTCAGGGCCGTGCCCGCTGGACGCAGGGCTGGACCTCCCCCAGGCAAGGAGGGCGCTGGGTCTGTAGGGCGGGGCGGGCGGCCTGAAGGAGGCAGGACCTGGGGTTGAGCGGCATGAAAGAGGCCTGGGCGGAAGAAGAGAGGCGGCAGGTGTTTGAGGACAGACGGGGGCAGCAGGGCCAGGGTAGCGGGCTCGCAGAGCAGACCAGAGAACGGGTGAGCCGGCCCTGACCTGGCACCCTGCTCTGGGCTGGGCCTTGGTGTGCTGTTCTGGGCAACTCTCATCCCTGGGCTCTGAGGTTGCTGCTTCTCAGAGGACGAAAAGATTATGTCACAGAGGTGTTGGGGGCAGGACGGTGATCCGGACCCGGGTCCACGCCCTGCCCAGCCCGACCTCCCTACGGCCCACGCGCTGTTTCACAGGCCCCACTGAGCTTCATACTACAGGTGGTGGGAGCATGTGTTAGGCTGACCCGGATGGAATTGCTGACTTTTCCTGCTTTTGACCTGCAAAAGGCCACTCGAGAGTGGTTCAGGCTAAGAGGACACGTCTGTGTAATGTTTCTTGATTGACTGACTGCAAACCCTCACTGCAGTAGTTTGTGAAAGGCTTTGTTGGAATAGTCTGGCCTTAGAAATCTGACAGCTCTTGGCCCTGGGACTGGACCACAGGGCCCAGTGGTTTAATGAGGGTTTCCCATAAGAACGAGATCCCTGGGGCTGGCTCTGGGGAGGAGATGCAGTGACCTGGGGGCAGGTGGAGGTCACCTGTGGCCCTCCCTGGGTAGGCTGAGTGCTATGGCCCCCCTGACTTGCAGCTCCAGCCCCAGAGTCACAGAGAGGACCCTGTAACCTGATAAGTATGTGTCTCTTTCCACCCACCCCCAGGCCATCAGCGCTTGCTGTCATGGCCATTTTCTGGAAAACAGCTCTGACCGTGCTCCAAAGTCTTCTGTGTCTTCCCATGGCCGAGCAGAGAAGTCCAGATCCCCCCATATTCCAGCCGCTCCCCAAGCTAGTTTCCATAAGTGATGAAGCTAAGATCGGAGGAGGAGGGGATATATTTTGTTCAAGAGGGTCCCACAGGTGGCGAGAAGTCCCCCTGCCCACCTCGACTTCTGCGCGCCAGTCCCCACTCTACTCTGGCTGCCAGAGGGAGCAGAGGTCAGCTCTGACCCCATCCATCTTCCCTGCGAAATGCTTCAGTGGCTCTCTGTGGCCAAGAGAAAGAACGCCAGTGTCCTTAACACAACCTCGAGGGTCCTTCACGGTCTGACCCGGCCCAGCCCTCCAGCTCATGGCTGCTGATGCCGCCTGGGCATGGCAGAGCCAGACCCACTGACCCTCCGGCGCGTTGCCCTCTAAGGTCCTTGCACGTGATGACCACGGCCAGCACCTTACTGTGTGCCAGACGCTGCTCTGAGTGTTTTTTTTTCCCTTATATATACAGATTTAATTTTTTTAACTTGATGTATAGCTCAATTACGTTATGTTAGTTTCAAGTGTACCGCAAAGTGATTCAGTTATACTTGTGTGTGTGTGTATGTACACACACACACACACATATTCTTTTTCAGATTCTTTTCCTGCATAGGTCATTACAAGATACTGAGTAGAGTTCCCTGTGCTCTGCAGTAGGTCCTTGTTGCTTACCTATTTATTTTATAGATAGTATGTACGCCCTGAGTGTTTTAATGAAAAAAGTCATCTATTC